ACTCACTTTACTGGGGAGAGGGCATACTCAGGGTCACTCCTGGTGGTGCTCAGAAGATCGAATGTAGTGCCAGGGATTGACTAGGAATTGGCCACATGTCAAGAAAACACTTTAACCCCTGTACTATGTGTCTGCCTGAAGGCAGTATAACTTCGAAGAGTATTCACTAGCAATCATTTGCACAAGCTGAAAAATCCTGAGTATATTCTGGGGTGTTTGCCTTGCACGAGGCCCACACAGCCAACCTGAGTTCGATTCCTCAGCCCCTCTCGGAGAGCCTGGCAAGTTACCGAGAGTATCTCGCCTGCATGGCAAAGCCTTGCAAGCTCCACTTGACATATTTGATATGCCAAACACAGTAAGAGCAAGTCTCACAATGGAGACGTTATTGGGCCTGCTCGAGCAAATTGATGAACAATGGGAGGACAGTGCTAGTACGTACAACTGTACCTTTAAAAATAGTAAGTTGTTTTTCCAAGTGTAGTAGTACACCTAAAGTGGAACTGTAAGAAAAATTGTTTTTGAGAAAGAACCAGTGGGGCTGGAGAGCTAATGTAGCAGTGGTTCAGTGGTAGGGCACTGACTTGCCTTGCAGTGGCTGACTGAGATTTGATACCTGGAACCACATATGGTCCCTGAGCCCTGCCAGGAGCAATCCCTGAATGTGAAGCCAGGAGTTTGCCCTGAGCATTGCCAGGTGTGATCCCCAAACAAACAAACAAAAAAAAAATCAAAAAACCCATTATTGGGTATAACTTCATACCAAAGATTTCTGAAGTGTTACTTATAGACATATTGTTCCCCCAGTGGTTTACTGGGAAGATTCTTTACTGTTTCTTTGGCGGTACTGTATAGCTTTAAGTTAAAAAAAAAAAAGTTTCTCTTAGAAGCTGGAGAGATGAGACAGTATAGGCTTTTAGGGGCTTGACTTGCATGGGGCTGATTTGTATTTGATCCCTGGCTCCATATGGTTTCCGGAATACTACTGGGTACAACTGTGCCACCAAGCACCACTGCATGTGGCCCTACAGATCCCTGAGTATAACATGTTTGGGACCTCACAATGACCCATAGGCCCAGTTAGTCAAGAATCGCTGAAACAGGTCCCTGGGCCTCCAGACTACCACATTGGGTGGGGGTGGGGGTTTCCCAGGTTTAGAGACTGTGAGCTAGTACAGCAGGCAGGGTACATATCTAACATGCACAGACCCTGATTTGGTCTCGGGTATCACATGGTCCCCCTGATATTGCTGGGTACAGCCCTGGAGACCCCCAGCACTTCTGGGTATGGCCCTTAGAGGTCCCCAATGCCACCAGGGTGGCCTGGGTATTTGCTGGCACTGTAAGACCCAAGTACATTGTATCTTGGAGCTCTTGCACTGATTCACAGTCCAGGCTGGCCAAGAATTGCTGTCGTGGAAATACTCCATGGGAAGTCCCAGCATCCCCACCCCCCCCACACACCCCACCGAAAAAAAAGAGAGAAAAAAGTAAAAGGAAAAGAAAAAAGAAAAAAAGAACCACACAAACCTCAAGGGACTGGTAATGTCACTAAGCAAGACTTGTATGATGATAAAGGGATTGGAGTTGTAGGTCAACCAAATTGTAAGGCTGAAATTTCACATAAATATAGCTTCAATTACCTATCAAGTAGGAAATAACAAATTTGGTTTGGGCAGGGCTGGAAGTCAGGCTAAACTTAAACTGCTTCAAGTTTATTGGTTTTCCTGGATTTTGCTAACATGAACAAACAACTGCAAGACTATCAGCATACAGAGGAAACAGGAGGGGAGTGGGTCTAGGAAGTGAAAGCTCAAAAGCTAGGTGGTTCACCAAGTTTCTGGTTTACCTGACTTCCTACCATAATGTGATAAGATAGCAAGTTTCTCAGGACTGGATTAGGGTCTGGTGACTTTCTGCCCGATGACTTGTGAATACACATGATGCAAGCCCACCTGCATGAGCATTTGAGGAGATATCCCTGAATTCTCTTTCCCTGTGGCATAGCAACCAGGAATTCCAAGGATGGTTTGGTTTCTCCATCACCCAAAATCTACTGAGCAACTACTGTGAGCAGAGCCTGCTGATAAAAATTAACAGATGTTGGGGCTGGAGCGATAGTACAGCAGGTAGGGCATTTGCCTTGCATGTTGCCGACCCTGGTTCAATTCCCAGCATCCCATATGGTCCCCTGAGCACTTCCAGGAGTGATTCCTGAGTGCATGAGCCAGGAGAAACCCCTGTGCACCACTGGGTGTGACTCCCCCCAAAAAGAAAAAAAAACAATCAAACAAACAAAAAAACAGATTTTTTTTTTTTTTTTGCTTTTTGGGTCACACCCAGTGGTGCACAGGGGTTCCTCCTGGCTCTTCACTCAGGAATCACTTCTGGCGGTGCTCAGGGGACCATATGGGATGCTGGGAATCGAACCCAGGTTGGCTGCGTGCAAGGCCCTACCTGCTGTGCTATCACTCCAGCCCCCCAGATGTTTATCATTTAAGCCTGAGATTGGGCAAACTTTTGTGAAGTATGAAATAGGTTTTATAAACCATACCATACTGGAGCAAGGACTCAACTATGCTGTGAAAGTGGCATAGAAACATGTATATGGGGCCAGAGAGCCTTTGGAGAGGGAGTGAATGCTCTGCATACAGGAGCTCAGTGCCACTGGGAACAGCTCAGGGGAGTACTGAGCTGGGAGTAGTCATCACTGAGTCAGGTATGGCTCCCAAAAACAAAGCCAAAAAAACCAAAAAAGGGAAAAAAGATGCGACTGTGAGCCAATAATACAACAGCCAAAACAAATGGAGGCCCACTAGGCCCAGGAGTGGGGATTATAGATACGGGTTTTGTGTCATGGAGCTCTCAGAACTGTGACCGCAGCAGGACCGGGTTGACTTTGACATACTTAGCTGTGAGAGGGACATCATCTGAGAATCTTTGTCATGTATTAATCCTGCTCCCTTATCTTTTTTTACCTCTTAGGAAAAGCCCAACTTAACCATTTTTAGTAGATTATTCATAACAAGCAATACAAAATTGTTTCGGTTCTGCTTGGGGGGGGCACAGTTTGGGATTTGGGGTGCAAATATTTGAAATATGGCGGTGGGAAGGTGCAACAATGGTGGTGGGATTGGTGTTTGAACACTAAATGTAATGAATTGTTGTGAACAACTTTATCAAAAAAAAAAAAAAGCCCAATTTAGAGGCTACAGGACAGTGGGTTAGGTGCTTGCCTTGCACCTGGCAAGCCAGGAAAGATTACCTGCACCCTAGAGTCCTCTGAGCTCTGATCCTTTATTTGTAGTTTGTCATGCCACTCCTCAGCTTAAAATATGCACGAGGGGCTGGGGAGGGGGTGGTTATCCAAAGGGCTGGAGTGTATGTACTTGCATATAAAGCACTGAGTTTGATCTACTTGTTCCCCTGAGCACTGACCTGAGTGATCCCTGAGCACCAAGTCCAGCAGTAGTCCGAGAATTGCCAGGTGTGTTCCCTCCCCCAAAACAAAAACAAAACCAAAAAGCCACCACCACCACCACCAAAAAACAAAACAAAACAAAACAAAAAACCCATGCAGACTCTCCAATTCACTAGGCAAATATTAAAATCTTAAAATGGTCTGTCAAAACGGACTCTTTCTGACCTCTCTTCCTCGGGTCCCAGCCACTGTAGCCTCCTTGCTGATGCCTGAATCACCAAGCACATGCCCACCCCAGGTGACTCCACGGGCTAAATCCTTTACTGTGACTGCTCAATCTCACTTCCTTCTGTCTCTGCTCTGTACTCAGGCTTTTCCAATCACTCTTTTTCCTGTACCACTTCACCATCTTGCCCCTATATATGTTTCCTTCATCCCACATAGAAGACAAGTTCCATGTAGTACTTCAGTCCTTCGCACTGGAGTTCCTAGCACAAAATAACAGTGAACACTTAGAACACACATTTTGCAGCTAACTGGACCGTCTTGAGGCTGGAGGTTCCTTCTCTCTCTCTCTCTCTCTCTCTCTCTGATCCCTCAGGAAGCACAGCTGCCAGTATTTTATTCCAGAGTGAACCAGGATTTGGTAGAATCCTCTTCTTTTTCACAGAATTTGATATAAACTGGTCTTTGACTGCTGTCACACAATGTTAAGTTGCTGATTTTTCCCACTGATTACATTCCCTTTAATACATTTCCAAGAAACACTTAAAGTTTCTAATTTTCTGCTCACTGGCCACGCCCCCCGCCCCGCCCCTGGTCTTAATGACAGGACTGGAATAATTGTCTTGGGGCTAAGTGAAAAGTTCGGTTTTCTGTTTCATTCAACAGCCTCTCAAAAAAGTTTTAGATGCGTCTGAAATGGGGGTTGGGTGTGCGGAATTGTTAACCTTCAGGCCTACTGAATGTCCTCTTAACGTTGAAGCTTATTTTTCTTAACCAGAGTCCGGAATGTTAAGCGTTTTAGAGAGCCACGCATCCCGCTCCCGTCCAGCGCGTTTTCTAGGGAGACCCCCGCATCCCCGTCTTGTGCGGGAAGCGGCGTGTCGCTTTTTTTTTTTTTTGCAAGACCTTTTGGGGTGTGGGAGTTTGCTGGCTCTGCATACAGAAGGAATTCTAGAAGCTGGAATTGCACCGCCCACCCCACGCACCCCTACTTCCAGAAACCCTTGCCCCCCCTCCCCCACCCCGCGCAACCCCCACCCCCTCCAAATAAGGGCTCTTCGCAGGGCAGTCCCAGCCCCAGCCCCAGCTGCTTGACACCTATTGTCCCCGTCGGGGTGTCCAGCGGCTTCGCCTGAAGGACCCCTCGCTGCAAGGTGGCTCCACTCGGGGAAGCCGGCTCCCGCCGCCTGGCCGGGCTGGCACGAAGCTCGCGCCCCGAGGCGGCCCTCCCCGCGCGGGGGCTCGGGCGGCGCGGCTCGGCCCGCCTCGGGGCCCTTCCCCGCAGGCGTCCGCGCCGGGCAGCCCGGCCGGCCGCGAAGGCCCCCGCCCGCCGCTCCGCCCGCCCCCTCCCGCCCCAGAGGGCTGGCTGGCTAAGTCCCTCCCGCGCCGGGCTCTCTCCGCCTCACTAGCAAGCGGCTCTCGGTGCAGCGGCCACGGGGGGGGAGACGGCCTGCGCCCACCGAGCGCTCCACACTTGCCCGGAACGCACCGCCACCCTCGGCCCCGTCAGCCGCCCACTCGGGATCGCCAGCGGCCTCCGCGCGCGCGCACGGTGAGCGCCACCCCGGGCCGGCCCCGCGGCGTTGGACGGGAGGAGGGGGGGGTGGGGAAAGAGCGGGCCGCTGCCCCGAGTGTCCTTTACCTCCGGAGGGCCTGGGACCTCCGCGGGGGGCTGCGGCGGCCCCCCAGGCCGCCCCCCACCCCCCATCCGGGGGGGCATTTCCAGCGCCTCGCTGCCCCCCCCTTCCCCGCCCCCCGCGGCTCGGCCTCCGGGAGTCCCGCCGCCCCGTTCGTTCCCTTTCTCCCTCCTTTCCTGGGAGAGCGACCCAGTGGCCGGGCAGCCCCGGCGGGGACCGTTGCTCGGGCCGTTGGCGGCCCCGCCCCCGGCGCGCGAGCCCCGGTGCCCCCGGGGGCCGGTAGGCCGGGCCCGAGTGGCCGGTGCGGGGGAGGGGCGGGCGCGGCGCGGCGCGGGGGTGGGGGCGGCGCGAGGCCGGGCCGGGGCGCCCCGCTGGCGGGTCTCGCGCGCGCCCCCGCCCGCGCCGTCGTCCCTTCCTGCCCCGGCGGGGCACGCGCGCGCGTCCGTGCGTGCGCGCGCGCGAGGGTTTTGTGCGCGCGCGTCCGGGCCCGTCCCCCGCCCCCCACCCCCCACCGGCTCGGCGCAGGCTCCCCGCCCGCTTGCGCGTTTTGTCCCGCGTCTCGCCCCGTCCGCGCCGCCTGATTTGGGCCGCTCTTGTGTTCACCCCCCCCTTTTTTTCCCTCCCTGTTTTTTTTTTATTTCTTCTCTCCTTTCTCCTCCCGCTTTTTTTTTGATCTTCGTTCCCGCACGGGTTCTTCTTCCGAAGATGCCCTCGGCCACCAGCCACAGCGGAAGCGGCAGCAAGTCGTCGGGACCGCCACCCCCGTCGGGCGCCTCCGGGAGCGAGGCGGCGGCAGGGGCCGGGCCCGCGGCGACGGCGGCCCCGGCTTCCCAGCACCCGGCCTCCGGCACCGGCGCCGTCCAGACCGAGGCCATGAAGCAGATCCTCGGGGTGATCGACAAGAAACTTCGCAACCTGGAGAAGAAAAAGGTGCCGGGAGTTGGCGGGGCCGGGGCCGGGGCCGGGGTCGGGGTCGGGGTCGGGGTGGGGGCCTTGGAGGCTTCGGCCCTCCCAGGCCAGGCCCCCCGGCTGGACCCTGCTTGTCCCCGGGGCGGCCTCGGTGGCCTCCGAAGTAGGAGTGGGCACCAGGGGAGGCACCCTGGCGCCCCTCTCCGTTAGTCGAGACCCCGTTTCTCTGGCCGGCCAAGAGAGAAAGGACGAGGTGCGGGGGCGGGGGCGGGGGGTGGGGGGGCTCAACCGACTGCCTCGTGGGGCTGGGCCGCCCGCGGCTCGGCCCGCTCCGTTAGCAGCTCCCCGAGGCGCCTTTCTGGGTCCCTCCCTCCTCCTTCCGCCCGAGGAGGGTGTTGGTTGGGGGCTGTGGACTGCAGTCCCCCCCAGGGGTAGGGAGGGAATGCGTCGTGGCTCTGGCCCCCCCTCCCCGCCCCCCAGCCTCTGGGCTCCCCCCCCCCCACGTTTCTTTCTTTGTCTCGATTGTCTTTGGTGCTCCCCCCTCCCCTCCGGAGCGTGCGGCAGGCCAGGTCCGGCCCGCGGGCCCTGGCGGCGGCGGCGGCGTCCGGGCCGCGCCGGGGTGGGGTGGGGAGGGGTGGAGGGTCCCCGCGGCGGGTGCCCGGGGAAGCCGGGGGCCCCGGCGGGCCGCGGGGCACATGGAGGGCGCCTAACATGGCGGCGGCGGCGGCGCGGGCGCGGGCAGGGAAGCGCTTCCCAGGCGCGGCATTGTGAGCACAAAGCGAAAGCGGGGGAGGGCGGGAGCGAGCGGGCGGCCGCGGGGCTGCCCCGGCCACGCCCACACGCGCTCGGCCGGGCGGCGAGTGTCCCCCCTCCCCACCTCGCCGCGCCGAGAGTGCGCCGGCTGCGTGCCGAGGAACACGTGTGCTCGCGTGTGTGTGTGTGTGTGTGTGTGTGTGTGTGTGCGCGCGCGCGCGTGTGTGCGTGCCCGCGTGCCCGCGCGGCCGCCGGGGGAGCGACGCGCCCTTGGCCCGGCGGGAGGCGGACGGGGACGCGGGGACGGCAAGGCCGGCCGGCTGGCTGGCCTCGCCAGGCACCTGCGGGCCCGGGCCCGGGGCTGGGGCTGCGGGGGGAAGCCCTTCTGCCGGCGGGGGGCGGGGAGCGCTTCTTGCTGATTGGGCTCCAGGAATTCCCCCCCCTCCCGCCCCCAAATTAAAGAAAAAAATAAAGATCACGGGTGTTTGACTTCTGAGTTTTTCAAAGTCACTTGGTACTTAGCCACTCTGTACCTAAGGTGTTGCAATAGTAACTGTTTACTAAAAAATTTGGGCTGTGGGGAATGACGTGACGGAAACGTTTATTATGTAGGACGGAATTCTAATTACTGATTTTCCTTGTAATTTCTTAAAGACACTGAGACTGTAACCGCTGCCACCTCCCCTCCCTGTTGCGCCAGGAATTGTACTTGGAATTTTTTTCCGTTTCAGAGATAGCCTCGCCCTTGATTTCGGCCTTTTGCTGAGCCATCATGGTGATAAGCAAGTGGGGTTGATTACAAACGGTTGAAATGCTTCATTTTTCTGTGTCAAAGAAACAAAAGGAGTTTAGTTGTACTGTAGGAACACATAGATTTGCGGGAGTTACTTGACATACCCAAAGCCTGTAGTTTGAGTTACCATTCGGATTAGAGTGTTGCTCCTTTATTTGAAATTGAGATTAATAGACATCTTTTAAAAACCTCAGCACAAATCACAGTTCTTTTATTCTGGTTGAGTGGTTTAATTTTGAGTAGTTTGATCTGTAGAATTTTGAAAAAATTTGACATTTTAATGTAGATCTGTGCTTTCCTAAATAAAGAATCTTTGAAAAAGGCATTAGTGCAAGGTCAGTCAGTAATTAACCAATTTAGTCTGAGGTGACTGTTAGTCTAATATTAAAGTGTGTGAACAGAAAAGTTGCAGTTTGTAAGCTACTTGAGGTCTTAACCATGATTGGTCACTTGTTGCATAGATTTTATTGCTACCTATTTCCTAGTTTCTGTTCCCATAATAGAATAGAGAGTAGTATTAATTATTGCAGAGATTATACACTGGAACTAAGTACTGAAAAATACCCCTGCAATGTGGTGGTTTAACCAGGTACACAAAGTAGCAAATATGTTTCATATCTTTTTTTCTTAATGTCTTGGGTGCTAGATAGCTGAAAAGTCACTTTGCAATTCAGTTGGGCTTTCTGATAACCCACACTGAGCTACCTACTTGTTAAGTGGCTGTGCACTGATGTGACTTTGGGGAAAGAGCTTTATTTAAGAAACTGCATTTTGATTTTCTTGTACTTGAGCACATTTGATTTTTCAAATTATATTTATTTTTTTTTATACATGATATTCTTTTATGAAAGGCTGGAATGATTATTCCCCCACTCCCCATAGTTCAGTTCTACAACACCTAAAATAGGTCATAGTGTATAGGCTATATAAACCAATCAGGACCTTTCTAGAAACCGCTAATGAATGAAAGTAACTGTTCACATCTAGATTGCTTCTGTTTTGGGGGTGGGCCATACATTTACCAAATAAAACCTTTTAACTTCAAATCCTAAATGTTAGCGGGTTTTTTTTTCTTTTTTTTTTGTTTTTGGGTCATACCCAGCAATGTTCGGGGTTGCTCCTGGCTCTGCACTCAAGAATTACTCCTGGCAGTGCTTAGGGGGCCGTACAGGATGTTGGGAATCGAACCCGGGTCGGCCACATGCTTCTTGGGAGGGTGGAGTGATGCTTATGAGTTACCCCTGGTGGGTCTCCAGGACCACATTGAATGCTGGGGATAAAGTCTAGGTGAGCCATGTGCAGAGCAAGCACTGTACTATCTCCAGTCCCCCACGTTTCTTTCCAGTCACTTAACAATGGTATTTGAGATTTATTTCAACCTTGACCTGCAGTTGGAGTTTTTTTTTTTTTGTCCTTTGTTGAAGGATCTTGAGAAAAATTAGTACTAGACATCTAGAAATCCTAGTGAATCAAATTAAAATGAGAATTGAAATTATATTGCTCTTCATTTAAAAAGCAGTTATTTTAAATTTTCTAAAAAGTGGCTATTGAGTTACTAAGCATCTGTTAATTGAGAATGCATGCTTAAAATGGATAAAATACGATCCTATTGTGCACTGCAATGAAATGGCCTGATAGTCTTTAAATTTGGGCTTTAAAAACATGAGTTTTTTTTAATGAAGAAGTGCAGCTGTAATGTAAAGAAACAAGTGTAGAACTGCCTCCAGTCTTCTAACTAATTAAAAGTACGAGTATGAATTGAATTAAAGTACAATCAATGAATTGAGTGCATGGTTTTCTTCATTAGTTCAATGGTATAAAACTGGGCCTAGGGCCCAGAGAGATAGTACAGTGGGTAGGACGCTTGCCTTATACATGACTGACTAGGTTTGGTTCCTCAAACTCCTTGTGGTCCCCAGAGACTGATAAGTGAGCACAGAGCCACGGATAAGTACTAAAAAAGGTCGGGTGTGTCCCCAAAAGAAAAATCCTCCAAAACCCTGGCTCTCAGCTAAGCAAGATATTTTCAAAGCAAGTCATAATTTTAAAGATAAGAGTCCATTTGATTTGGAAAGAGGTAATCAGTTTTGGTGTGGAATAAGGGCTTTTTAAATGATGTATAAAATTAATATTTTTGTGAATGTAGATTTAGACCCCGATGACTTGGGTAGATGAACGGTTACCTGGAGTTCTTTGCAGAAGAGTCTGAGAGCTTTGTGATCAAAATGTGACTGGAAGTGATAGAGTACTGTTATTCTTATTCCAAAAATCTTCTTGCCCTCTGTATTTTTGCAGTAAAAATTATTCTGACAAGCAAATGCTCAAGCATTGTGATAGTAGAGCATAACATTTCTTTCCAAAGAATTGCAGTGAAATTTCTACTTAGAATTTTTAACACACTATTCAGTATTTTAAAATAAAAGCAAACTGTTTTACAGATAAAATCTTTTCCTGGGATTAAAACCTGGATTCTTTTTTTTTTTTTTTTTGACAGTAAAAATTTCTGTCCTTAGCTTCTTTGGTTGCATGAACTGTTCTACTGCAATGCAGAGGACAAGATTACTCTGTTTTGCATCCACCTTGTCACAGGGAAAGAAAAAAGCATTTACTTTTTACTTAATGTATTTTCTTCTGATTACCTCAGTCTGCTGTAGGGAAGTACTTGAAATTTGAATTTAAAAGAATAAAGCTGTGAATTTCCTCATGATAGGTACACATGTGGGTACCCTTTTTTGAGTGGATTCTATGCATCATGAGACAGTTGTTTTAACCTGGTCACATTATTTTACTCTAGGATCTTTCCTATGTGGCAGATATTTGTATCAGTTCATTTTGCAATTTAGGGATTAAGCATATAATTTATTGTAAGCTTATGCAGTAACTGCAGATAATTTCTTTGCTTACTTAACAATTAGAGCTAGGTGGTTAGTACTAGTTCATCTTCAGAAATAATCGGAAAATTTTCAATTTAAAATCAGAGCCTTAATTTTATTACCATTTTATCTTTTTTAGGAACTGAAAGCCATTAAATTTCTCTAATTGATTTTGTAGAAGAGTTAATGGAGATGCTCATGATAAAATGACCCACATTGGAGGGCTAGGATGGGGTGATAGTGCAGCGAGTAGGAACTTGCTTTGCACTAAATGACCTGGCTTTGATCTCCAGCACCCTGTGGTTTTCAACCTCTCCAGGAGTGGCCCCTAAGCACAAAGCCAGGAGTAAGCCCTAACGCCACACATATCCCAAATCCCTTCCCAGCACCCTCTTACCCCCCCCCCCCCAAATCCATATTGGAATAGATAAAATTCCAAGGCCTTCGGCAATACTTTGTGAGGGAATTAGGAACATTCTCCAATGTAATTAGCTTCGTTATTACCAAATAAAACCTTTAACATCAAATCCTAAATGTTAGTGGGTGTTTTTTTTCTTTTTTTAATTTTTGGGTCATACCCAGCAATGCTCAGGGGTTGCACC